ATCAGCAGCACCATCTCTGCACCACCAACAGTGTGGATGAAGAACATCTGAGTGATGCAGCCTTTCAAGGAGATGACTTTATATTTTCTGAAGAGGTCATAAATCATCTTTGGAGTTGCGATGCTGGACACACCTGTATCGATAAAGGAGAGATTTGCCAGCAGGAAGTACAGTGGGGAATGTAAATGATGATCTGAGATGATTGTGAGTACGATGAGGAGGTTTCCCAGCATGCTTGCTACATAAAAAATTGTGAAAATCAGGAAAAGGAGAATCTGAATTTCCCAAGAACTGGCGAGTCCCATCAAGAAAAATTCGGACACCACCGAGTGATTTCCTGCATCCATCAACTTTCCTTGTGAAGGCTCATCCAAAAGCTACTGTTCCTTCAAGAGCACAGGAGGTGCAGAAAAATCTAATTTTCACATTGATTGAGATGTCCTGTTTATAGATAATGGCACAAAAAATTGAAGATCACCTTGGCATTTTAAAAATAATTTGCACAGTCAAAGAGTCACAAGAGATGAACCCCAGGATTTTTTTTTTCATGCTAAGATATTTAAGAACACTTGATTCTTTCAAATTTAGTTTGAGCTCTAGCATATAACCAAGAATGGAGAAATATAAACAAAGGCACCTAAGAGTTTAGGAGAAGATATATCAGGATGTACAAAGGCTCATACTTCGTAATTTTTATTTTTTTAAAAATGCAAGAGAATGGAAATATGCTAAAATAGAAGGAAGAATTTACTTTTGTCTGTTATACAGCCTACTTTCTGGAGTTTTTTTTTTTTTTAAACTGGAATGCCTTAAGTTCTCTAGATTTACAATTATGTCATTAACAATAGTACTTTAAAATTTTTGCTGGTTGCAGATACTATTCATTTTAGTATTCTTTAATACAGAAGGCCTAGCACATTGTTTGTTTAGTGTTTACCATCCATTTTCCAGTTATACACTGTTCTACTCTTATTTTGAAATAAGATGACAACTATTTCCAGGAACAGTAGGTTGTATTCCCCTTCTTACATTTTCTCAACGCTGAATCCTTGTTAGAATACTTTTCTCCATTCTCTGCTCTTTTATTCATCCTACTTTATTCAGTTCTTTTTATCCTTCTGTAAATACTCTTTGTTTTATATATTGTGCCTTCCAAATCTCTCCTATGTATTTTGTCTTTGTTGATTCATTTCTACTTATAGGTATTGATGTAAATTAAGATAATCTTGTATTTTTCTGTGAAGGAAGTATGAGTGGATATTCTCTTCTTTCTACTTTTCTTTTATAAATTTCTGTTGTGCACATCATTCTCTTTAAAGATGAATATTCAAAGCAGGTTGTAGATTTTCACATCTAAAAGTGTCCCAGTGCTCTGGAAGAATGAGGGAGGAAGATCACAAGTTTCATCCCAGTGTGTGCAAATAGGCAACTTCGCAAGATCCTTCTGAAAACAAAGCAAAGCAAAACAAAACAAAACACCTGAAAATGCACCACACCTGAAAGGCTCTGTATTCAATTCTTAGTGCCATAAAAAGAAGAAATAAAGATTCAAGTACAAGTAGATTCCATTTTCCAGGTATTCTTAATTATACCACTCTTTAAATTACTGACAACCTAAAATCAAAGATAATTTCAGAGGCCTAAGGATCAGGGTACCTAGCTGAGTTTCACATATGATGTGGGTCTTGGAGTTTAATCCATCATTGCCATCTCCCCTTACACATCTCATCATAACGTTATCTACTCTTTCTTAGATACTAGTTTCCTTCTCTTTACCTCCCCAAAGATGCTACTTGTATGTCATTCTGCCACTGATCTAGTCTTCTCCAAGTTCCAAGAATTCAGAATTATTCTTCTTAGACCCCTCTCAAGTAAATCATTTATATACCAAGCCAGTTCTACAAAAGGTGTTAGCAGAGATTGGTTAATGCAGTTTCTTGGGTTTATATTAATGCAATTCTCATCATATTTTTATTTTAGTTAGATATTTTCTAAACTGTGCTATTTTCTTGTTATTCTAGGCCTCTACACCTCTGCAATTTTCATTCTGCACTTTGCCCACTAGAGAAGGTGATATTAAAACTTAGCACTCAATTTCTGAAGTACTGCCTATACACAATATTAGCTGCCTATACCACAGTTTCTCCTGAAAATTGAAGTATTCTCTGTCTTACAGTCCCTTCATTTTGGTTGCATAAAAAGGAATAAGCAAAGAAAAACAGATAACTCTTCTCTGAGCCTCAGGATTTGTTCATATTCAAAATTGAAACCTTTTGCAAAGAAAGGCAGAGAGAATCAAAACTCTCCCTTACCTGAATCAGTATCTGTTTTCCTAAGGTGGTAGACCAATTTCTTCAAATTTTCATAAAACACAAAATGCTTAAATTTGCAATCCAAGCTACTCAGGAGGTGGAGGCATGTGACCTCAAGTTCAAGACTATCTTGGGCAACATAGGAAGACCTTGTTTCAACATTAAAAAAATTTAAGCTTCAATCATATAAGAGCTATAATTCTTAAAGAGAAAAGTAGGAAGTTGTTTAAGCGATGCTAAGAACTAGGTGAGAGAAATTAGAACTTGAAAAAAAACCCACAAAAAATGATTATATAACTTAAGAATTTATCTTAAAAATAAAAGGAAATGAAGAATAGTGATATAGAAAGAAATATGGGATTTAAAGGATTAAACATCATATGTTTCTTCCATCTGGAATACCTTCCTCTGATCAAATTCTTACCATTCAGTCAAGATTCTGCTTTTATGTCTTTTCCAAAGGCATCATTCCAGATTCCATTAGCAAAACTCATACCTGCTCATTTGATATTCTTCAACATACTCCTCCCAAACACATATGTAACAAATATGTCAAATAAGAATTAAATTATGGGTGAAATTAAAAGAAAAAACAAGTACTGAGTAATCTTAGAGACAGATACACTTACAAAATATAGGCTGGATTAATTATCGGTGTGCTAACTTGTCAAACATTTTTTATGTGTAAAATGAGAGTACTTGAGGTGAAAACTCTTTTCTAGATTCAGAGGCAGATAATTTTATGTTCTGGCTCAGATATAACCTTTTGCAAAACAAAAAGACTTATATTCTTGTGCATGTGAGGTAAAAGATTCTAATTAGCAACTTTCGACATGCCTGACCAAATAATAGTTCTGGGTCTGGGGAATAGTTAGTCCTTCCTTGATTGGATTTTCCTGGGGATTATACCTTAGAGTCCACACTTATTTTCATCCAGGGAATAAAAAGGACAAAAGAACAGAAAGAAAAAAATAGCTTTTGTGTAACAAATATAATGATGTCCTACATCAGTGCATAGAGCTGTTTCCTTCAAAATGAGTTAAATAAAGTACCTGATGACAAATCCAACCTGTTAGAAGACTTTATAAACAGAGTTAGAAGGAAAATGAGTGACTCTTCTCCTGAAAATGCAGATTTCATGGCCAAAGTAGGCTCTTCAATGAGAACAAAGGAAATGAGAAATCACAAAACATAAACTATCTTTCACTTTGGCAATTTCTGTAGTTTTTAAAAAATGGTTTGCAACTCCACAAGCCTCCAAATTCAGGATCTAAGACTACAAAAGGTTTCCATCAGATAGACTGTAAAATTATAGTGATAGAGAGCATTTCTGTAAATAGTCTGAAACCTACAAAATGTTAAAAAGATGGAATAACTGCTGCCTTTTGCTTCTGTAATTTGCTTTGCTTTGCTTGTTTAACAAAACACCTGAGATTTCACCATTGAAGCTTTTAAGGCATGTAGCCCCAGTTTAATATTAACACATGCTAGAGGTGCTTAGCCACAACCCAGGATGAAACCAAATGTTCAAGCTAAGATAACAGTCCCTGAACCATAAAGCTTTTCGTAAACCATATGACTATAAAGGTATTAAGATGAAAGGAATGTCACCAGTGCTGCTTTCCCATCCTGATCCCCACTCTTGTGGGATGTGGGATGGAATAACTAAATATAAACATCCTAAAAGACAATGCTACACTTGGATTAACATTGAAACTGTCTTATGACCATGATTTGTGGTGGGAATTGTGGGAACTAGAATGTCTTGTCACCTAAAATGAGGTCATAATTGTAAAACTCCTATAAAAGGCAGATTGTAACCCAGCCCGGGGTTGGTCATTTGGCACAGCTCTTGGTGCAGGCCGACCCTTTGCTGGCAAACATTTTTTTTTCTGTTTTACCCACTCTTGCCTCTGTGTGTCATTTACCAATTCTTTCTGCAACAATAGTCCTCATTATTGCAATGGAGAGGAATTACTATGTAATAGAGTTTCATAAATGTACCTGTTCCAGAAAACCCTGCCTTGACCATATTTAACAAGAAGTTATTATGTTTTTCTTGCATGGTCCTCTGATCTTTTCCTCTGTTTCTATTTTGGCCATCATTCTTCAGATGTTAGTGCCTCATTTTAATTCTTCTTAAAAAGAACTAAACTATCTCCAATATTACCACACACACTCCACTAACCTAATCAGCAAAAGCAAGCAATCAATTGTAAAACACATGAATAACACATAGTTAGTACTTAGTAGTTATTTTAGAAATATATGTTGTTCAGTTAGAATGGTTCTTATCAAAGAGACAAAAATTTTCAAAGCTCATGAGGATATAGGACTGGGGATTTATCTTAGTCATTCCATCACCTGCCTCACAAGCACAAGTTTGATCCCTGGTATCGGAAAAAAACAAAACAAAACAAAACAAAAAACAAACAAACCAAAAACAACTCATGAGGATATGGAGAAAAGAAATGTTGATAGGAATGTAACTTAATATAGTCACTATTCAGAACAGTATAAATGTTATTTAAAAAAACTAAAAGAAGATCTGCCTATCTCACCATGTTACTGACAGTGGAGCCTCGGACATTTGTGAGTGAGTAGACAGAACTTGGGAGTCAGGTTTGGAGAGTGTGAAACCTAGACAGAGACCTCCTGAAATCACCTGCTAACCTTAAGCTTAAGTTCAGATCAGGAAGATCATGGGATCTGTATTCTATAGTGGGTGGCCAGGTTTGGTGGGTGTAACCTTCAGTAGGGAAGGGGTGGACCTGACCAAGATAGAATTTATTACAATGATCTTGAAATTTTCTCAGTAGAAAATAATCTGATTTACTACCGGTTGCTATCAGTATTTTCTAAGGCTGCACTATGATAATAGACCTCTTTTCTTTGGTTAAGGGTGATTCATGAGTGATTCTTAGGGATTGTTATGATCTAGTTCATATTTGATGCCATTGTTTTCACTCACTTTGCTACTATTCCAAGGTGACATAGTTGGTGCTATCAATAAATTTTCTTTGTATGCTAATATC